GTGTTTTATTTAACCTTGTTTTATAAAGGTCTTAAAGGTCTATTTATTTTCTTTCTTTCAGTATTCCCAAATACTGTAATGTTTCTTTAGCTACAGTACTTACACATTACAGTATATCCAAAAGACTTATAAATTTAACTATAATTAAAATTTCATATTTTTCAGTGAAAACTTAAAAAAATACAGTGTGCTTCCCTTGTGCCAATTCAAAATTAATTAACCTAAAAGATAAATACATCACCTTTAACATTAAGCCACATAGAACAGATTGTCGGGAAGCTGGCAGAGCTTTGTGAATTCCTAGATGTTTTACATCTAGTATACATTTTGTCTGTGTTCTCGACAATGTGTTACTGATGTTGTGGTAGCATGGTAGTTCCAGTTTGTTTTTAGAATCCCAGTGCTGTCTTGCATCAGGAGGGAAGTTCGTTGTTGTCCTCTTTTTAAATTTCCCCTGTCCTTTTTATTAATGATTGACGACTGTGGAGAGGTTCTGTAATTTAATCTGCCACCTCATTTTCTAAAGGATCAAATGGTTGCAAGATAACAGTTGGGGGCGTCCCTGAATAACTTTGGATTGACAAGCCTGTCAACAAGTAGAACAGACCAAAGTAATGTTTGATATTTAAACATTAAAGACATCAGACACTGATGGATGAGGCTGCCATATGTAAACAATATCTTAAGCTGTTGTTCTGTGCAAAAGCTACTGTTACAGTAATTGTCTTTGAGTTGTCTATATGTTGTTTCTGTTTACATTGCTTTTAAGTGATTGATGTCCAACTGGGAATAGCTCTTGAGCTTTAAATTAATGTAATACTTGGCAAACTGCTGCACAGGGTGAAATCCTAATAAAATCCCAGCTTTATAGCGCTAGTCCCTTTGTTTAATCAACTGGTTGCTCACGTCTCTCCCCTATAAATGTTGTTATATCTGCAGCCATTGAATGCTGTCCAAGATATGTGATCCAAATCCTTTTCAAAGACAAAAGTTCAAAACCATAAGTTCACAAAGAGTTCAAATTAATTTCAAATGCTTAACAAAGGAAAAGGCTGCACTTTTAATTCTTGGTTCCAAGTGAGGCAATGAAAAGGTGATTATTGAACAGTGGAGGTTTTGTGCTGAAACATGCCTTTTGCTGTTAATATTTTCACATGTATCTGAGAGGTTCATGTCCTTTTCTGCAGTCTCACAATGAAGCTGTTCCCAGATTGCCTCAACAGCTAGAGCAAGTGTAAATTGCTATACTAACAGTTATCAAGCAGGTAGGGTATGTATTGCAGGAAAAGGCTAGAGCTTGAAGTACTCTTGATGTGTTACCATAGGTCTGTGGTTAATTCTGCTATCTCTGGCAGTACCATGATAAACTGATCTGAAAACACATATTCTCTCATAATCAAACAATCTGATGACAAAAGACACTACCTGACCCAAAATCATGATATAATGTGATTTCTAATTGGACTAACTGTTTAAGAATTGTCTAGTAAAACCCCAGATTTGCCTGAAGTTCAGAAAAAAATGTATGTGCCTTAAGAGGGCATTTATTTACTGTGAAGTGTTATGATCTGTACTTCATCTACGGTATTGAGAGTACTTACAGTATGTTACATTTATCCAAAGTATGCTTTGGCAAATTTTTCACAAGAAATTAAATACTATATTTGTGTCTGGTCAAATGAAAGAAAAATCAAACCACTATTATCTAGTGCTGATGTCACAAGCAGTTCTTTCCGGGCCCTATGTGGACGACACGATCCAGAATAGAGAAGACACAAGGGCAAAAACTTGTCATGCAGGAAAAGGGTCTGGAGACGGGGGGCGTGTCCATGCAGTGCAGGTGTCCAGGGGAAGTGAATCCAGGCGAACAATCCATGTAGGAAATCCAAACGGGAAATCAGAAACAAGGGCTGAAGTCCATAAACAGGCGATCCATACGGTGGGGGGGAACAGGTTGGAACCGGCGAGGGGAACCAGGAACTAGGAACAGAAAGTTAAAAGCATAACGGAGCCAGACGCAGCAGGACCTCGGGCTCTCACGATACGGAAATCAATGAGGAAACCAGGAGTAAGGTCCGCGTCTGGCTTTAAAGGGGGAGTGGGATTAGGGACCAGGTGCAGACAATGGGGCAGAACAAGGAAGGGCTGGAGCGCCCTTAAGAGGAGGGGTTAGCGATCGTGACAAATGTCACATGCTCACTCCTAAAGATTTTTTATATATGTTTTGTAATGTGTTTAGAGAAGTAAACAGAAAGCAAACAAGAAAACAGTTGTGTTGCGTTGAAGAGATTATCACTGTAATTGATCGGTAATGCCTGTAAAGCTTTTTTAATTTGAATCTGAATTTGGTTGTTTGTACTGTAACATTTCCAAGGAGTGACATCTAGCCTTTTGATTCAACTAAAATTAATTGTATTTACTTTGTTTAATATTGTTATTTTTTATTGTATGTGACGACCTATTCCTCTAACATTTGTAAGATCAATATTGTGTGAAGTACAATAATACTGATATTCTCACATGCACCTTGTATATTCATCTTCTTTACAGCCAAAAATATTAATGTGAAGCATTTACAGCAATAGCAAACAGTTTCCTTTTCACTAATTTTATAAAGTTTATTAAAGTTTTAGAATCATTACTTGAAAAGTGATTGCTTGCATTTATGGCAGACCTTTCACTCAGGAATCATTTCATTTAAACGCAACACAGCATTTATTTTTTAGCATGTTTTATAACATCTTAAATCATATCTTAAAGGTTTCTTCCAAATTCCATAACAATGTTGAGTTATAACTAAAGTATACTTACGAAAAACTTCATGAAACATTTCTAAACATTTTAGACGTCTCTACACAGTTTTTTCCTGGCATAAAGTTATTTTTTGTTCCCTTTGTGCAGTTAACCTATCTCCACTGATTTTTGGGGGAAATCTCACAGCAATCGTGTTTTAACATGATTGCCTAAAATGGCTGTATTTAACCCAGAGTGGCCTAATTCCAGACAGTAGCATAAAGCATATCTGATGACCTTACAGTGATACACATCTTAATCTTGTCTTTATCAATGGGCTATCTTGGTAGAACTTTGCTTAAGGGAAAAGAAGAAGAAAGGCTTGGGATTACAATTTCCTGCATTTAAAACTGCAGTGTTATTAATACAAACTGACATTCTGCATTGCCTGAAGATATAAGCTCCTAACCTTGCTGTTCAGAAAGGGTTCTAGATCAGACATGTATTCCTTATGTGCAAGGTATAACCATTCAAATGAGCCTTTCAATGATAAAATCTGCAGGAAGTATTACATACTGTCTAAAGCATAAGAATATGGTTAATTTAAACATCTAAAAGTATTTGTTAAATAACATATTTATCTGGTTGAAATAGGCTTTCTTTTTACAAGCAATCTCCTGATACTCATTATGATGAATTAAGTACACAGTATAATATTTAAATACATATGTAATGCATACTGCAGGGCATGCTTGCTTTTCCTGAACATCAAACTTTCATGCACAACTGAAATTAAATGCTTTCAGTTCATCTGACCATAGTAATATGAAAATAGATATTTTAATAATTTAAGCAAGAAGAAAAAAATAAATATGTAATATTTTTAAAAACTGAAAATCTATGCCTTATTTTAAAACATGTTGAATGACCCTTGTTGAATGTTGGGGACATGTTAAATGTCCCTTTCTACATCCACCACAGTACAAGTGTACAGTTGAACTCTACATTAAACTCTGAAGCGTGTCTGGAGAAATTGAAGAACAAACATGTTTTAGTTTGTTGTTTATCTTGGGTTTCTGCCATTAAATCCTCAGTATTGCATGTCTGGTTTAGCCAGAAGTAGCCTCAAACTTGCAGGTATCCACAAGACAAAAATCTCATCGATTCAATCCATTTAAAAAACTGTAGTGTCAAAATCTGTGAGCAGGTTATTGATATATCACAAACATGATATTTTCCACAATCACCACAGAAATGCCACTTCAAATGTAAGTGTCACACTCAGGGCTTTTTGAGTCACACTGAATGAATCTCAAGTAACCGCTACTGCATTAGGTTCAGGGATAACAGCATCTCAAGACATAATTTCTAATGCCCTTTATGAAAAAAAATGTTCTTCAATAAATCTTTACATGGCATTCATATGTTTTTATTAGTCATGAGACTTGGCTTTCATTGTAATTGTCCCTCTTATTGTCCCTCTTCTCTTCAAATTGTTTAGGACTTATAAATAAATATATTGTTGTGGTTTCAAGATTGCCTTTTCCCTAGATCACACTTCAGAAAAACATGTTTAATGTGGTTCTCAGATGTAGAGGGAAAAAAAATTCTAACCAAGCACAGCATTGATTTGTCCAAATGATAAGAAGGATAACCTTTTAAGTTCCTGATCCATAACTATTGACTAATGCTCTATCTTTGCCAACACTGATGAGTTAAGTATTTTTACTTGACTAAAAAACAGCTACAACCTACTGTGATGACCAGGACAATTTGTCCATTACTGTTGTATCCACATTGACAAGACCAGAAAGAGCTGGATGTGAGCACATATATCACAGGTGTTTAAAGACACTCTTTTATCAAGTAAGAGAAAGAATCAGCTACAAACTGTTTTTTTAGGGTTAAAACCAGATTATTGATTGCAATTAATGTTAAGTGAAGGTATTTTGATTTTGTAGGAGGAATCATGCCCCCCTAAAGTACTGCTTTGTAACTAACAAAGACAGCAAATTTGCAGCTTTCATGTTTCAGAACTGCAAATACCATGTCAGGCTTCTGAAAGCCATTTTTCTTAGCATGTGCAAGTGGAATCTTAAGAATGTTACCATCTTCTTCAGATGATTTTTTTTTGTACTGCCATGCATGTTTGATTTCTCAGAAGACAATATTGACAGTTGGCCTTGATCTAGAAGAAAAGTTATGTAATGTTGGTGACAGTTGCAGCAGTGATAGTAATAATATTTTGTTTTCTTGCTCACTTTCAGGCCAACATAAAGAAATAACCAAGTAAAGGACGAGCTGCGCTACTATGAGGTCTGAAGCCTTGCTGCTATATTTCACACTATTACATATCGCTGGGGCTGGATTCCCTGAAGACTCTGAGCCAATCAGTATTGCACATGGCAACTGTAAGTACACCTTGACCAGCTCTTCAGTATTGCCTGATTGAAAGACACTCCCTGAATTTCCCTCATATTGTATAAGCTTGAAATGTACATTGGTCATCGGTAACTAGAACAAAACTCTCCTTTAGTTATATCTTCTTAGATAATGATTTATTCCTTAGAAGAAATTCGAGACACAACTAAAAAGCTTCTTGTGTATGCTAAACAATTTCATTCAGAAATGCATTGAGAAAAATGTCTTTTCTGATGAGACAAAAGATGAGAACTTTGTATCTCAAAGTATGCAATTGTCCTAATGATAAATTTGCAAATGTGCAAATTGTTCTGGTATAAATTTGAGGATGTTGTCTGCGTTGGTGAGAAAGTTACCATAATGATTTGCTTTTATAATTTGCAATATATATAATACCATATGAAATATAAAGTATGGGCAAAAAATAAATTCAACTTTCTTTAGAGTGATTAGTAATATAGAATACCAGAGATTATATTTAAAGCATTTGCATTACATTATTTTTCTTCTGATTGCAACCATAAATAAGTAAAAATCTTAAACATACACTTCTTACACTTACACTACATACATTAGGCATGCATGAAATAATTTTAAAAAGAGAGAAAATAAGTATTTTTATAGAACTGTCCCAACCAGTGACTCAGGTATTATGTGATATGTTTGTCTTTTCTTGACAGATACAAAACAATACCCAGCTTTCGTGGGTCACAAGCCAGGAAGAAACAACACGCAGAGGCATAAACTGGATATCCAGCTGATACTGATAATGAACAGGACACTCTACATTGCTGCTAGGTCAGTCTTGTTTTAAAGGCAGAGACGGAATCTTTTAAATGGCCCCACAGAATCTTTTTGTCACAATACAAGGAGACATAATCGCTTTCACATGAGAAGGTCACAGGGGTAAGGCTAGGACAACAGTATGGGTCTATCTGCAACATCTGATTACTTTATTAATTGCTAGTTACAAATTAACATTTTCCTTGTGGAATGCCAATGTCCTGTTTTAACCCTAGCCTGTATCTATGTGCTTAAAGTGTTCGTTTCTGCAAACCTCTAAGATACCACAGCCACTATAGTCTTAATAGCTGTTAAGTGTGAAATCCCTTTGAGACAGAAGCATATTCTTAAATTGAATTGATTCTAATTTGTAAAGTATTCCTAAAACGGCTCTTGTATCTTTTTGATGACAAATGGGGATAAAGTGGGCATAAGGATAGAGTAAGAGCAGGAGATATTTAATCCTTGTTTAACTAATTACTCAGCCCTTGGAGATGTTATTTCAGATGGTTACTCCTCATTCTTTTCCAGATGTGTTATGAAATAGAGTATGACAATTAAATATTTATATGCCACCCAACCAGTTTTGACTATGCAGAAATTAGACATACAGATGCCCATGCTTATTCTGTAACCATAAACAGCTGGTAAAGTCTGAAGGGGTTTTAATGTACTGTACATGGTGCTATTGTTTGTCTTAAGAGCGGCATATGCAAGGACTTTTGCTTAAAGAATGACAGCAAACATAATAAGAAAACTTCAAGCATTAAGGCCTTTCCTTTTCTTCTTTTTAATTTTTTTCTTGATTTTCATGTTTCCATTTATTTTGATGTTTATGGTGTGGTACTCATGTTTTTTTTCACATCATACAGACATGGTCTAGCAGCACACATTAACAACAAAAAACAAGTCCTCTGTGCTAAAGAAGAAACAAGTTGAGATTCAGTCCATGCTGAAAACTAAAAAGAGAATGAAATGTTGTTCCTTTTGTATTATGCATGCTAATGAAGCTCACCACTCTTAAGATATTCCATAGAAGCAAAGTCTTATAACTCCTGGTCATATTCTCTCCTAATTGGTCAAAGGCATAATGTTTTGAGAAGCTACAGTACGTCTACTCCAGGACATTTGTTTCTGGGAACACAAAAACAACCAGCATGCACTTTGAAATATTGTTTATGGAAGCTTGTTTCTTGTTTTATGCAGAGCAAGAATGTGCTTAAATACTGTGAGAATGGAATTGAGCAATCCTGGTATCAACAGCCTTTTTCACTGACCTGCGATTGTCAATAACCATGCTTGAGCATGACCCTTATATATTCCAATAGGATTCCCTGTCTGGTATCCTCAGTTTATTGTTTGTAAGTTCAGCACATACAGACATTTCTTAAATCTGGTAGTAAGTGTATAATCCCTGTTAAAATATTAATAAAAAATATGTTTTAAAAAAAATACCACCAGAAGCAAATTGTTCAGTTGTACATAAGCTTACAAAGTCAATGTCATTGATTTCTTGTGAGTGTCTTTTTCACATTTATTAAATGTTAATGTATCCAAAAATAAATATTTAATATATGTTGTTCTCTGAAACCCCTAAGAACTTACAGATAAGAACTTACAGAAAAGTTACAGATAAGGAGAGGTTCATCTAGCTTGTTTGGTTGCTAGTAGCTAACGGATCTGAGGACTTTTTCCAGCCATTTCCTGCAAGAAGCCAGTCTAGGGGCTTCAACAACATGGTTGAGTACCAAACATCAACACCCTTTTCCTGGAGAAAAACGTGCAAGAGCTCCAATTTCCTAATATCCTTCACACGGAGCAGGAGTGTTTCAGTTACTGTGTTGAATCATGTGGATTCTGACACTGTTATTTGTCAATTACACCATGTTGCATTTAGGTTCCATAAAAAGCAATTCAATTTCCGTTTCCCACACAATGGTGCAGCTTTTTCTTTTTCCTCATCTTACAGTGCTTCAAACTTAAAACATGTTATAAAACCCCTGAGCATTTAATGCTTTTGGCAGTGTTGCTCTCTATATGCTAAATCTAAAGAGTCTAGAAAACATCTGTGCTCTTCAAATGTATAAATTAGACATGTGAGTTCAGTTCTGACTCCCTCCTTGCCTTTAACTGTAAGGTAGCACAGTAACCTTGTAGATGGCACAGGGTGGGTTATATAATTCATTATATTTCAGGTGGGTAGCTGCGTCAGCATGCATAGGCTGCAAAGGAACAAGTAATACATTTATTCCATGCTGAAAGAGAAGAAAGAAAACACAACATTTCAGCCGTGGAGTCTGAAGCATGACACACATGAAGAAGGCTCCACAGCCAAAACGTTGTTTTCTTTCTTCTTTTTTTCAGCATGGAATAAACCTATTGTTCTAATTCATTTTATTTACTAGCAGTGCTTATTAATTACAGCATTTCTCAGTGCCTTTATGATGGCTCATACTGTCGGGTTATATCAAACCATGGTTCAGTGCTATAGCTCACATGTCTTATCAAGTGGCATGTCAAACTTTTCACAGGCAGAAATTGTGACACATAACACTTCTCCTGGCTTAAATACTGTTACTCAGTTCACCCTTGTCAATGGGGGAGCCAGCTCCCATGGCCTGGTTTTAACTTGACTTCAACTCTGCGCTAGACCTATCCAGTGGTTCCTGTAAATTTTGGAGAAATACACTACAGAAGCAGATGTTGTACAGTATAGTCAACAGATAGTCACAATTGGTGGTCTCTCTAAGAAATAAAACTTCTCCTTGATACATTAAGATTATCTAAGAATAATTACTATCTCCCCGTCCATTTCTGATATGTCTGATTGGATCAGTATTTCATTGTTTTCATGGAAGGTGGTACAGTACTGCTACTGTACTAGTACTATAGTAGTCTAGTCAAGTACTGGTTGTGAACACTGGAGTGTAGACTGTTCTGAATCCATCCCTGCAAAAGCATCCAGGCGAACTGATTTTAAGAGACAGCAACAGTCAAGGAGAGCATCTCATATGCTTTACACCATTTGTTATGTGTCAGTGCTATTGGCAGTATGGTTTAAGAATAAACACGTTGCCTGAACCCAGGTGTCTATTATAGTGCAGTTCTACAAAACGTTTTTCAGATCCAAAAAACAGATTAATAAAAAAACACATAATCTAACCTCCATTAAACTGTTACCTACTTTAGCTTTTGTTCATATTTTTTCAACTAACATTAAATCTATTTTCCCTTTTAGGGAATTCAATTTAAAAATTGAATATGTGCAAATAGATTTTTTTTATAATAAACAAATGATTATACATAGAATTGAAGTGTACTATAGAAGCCTAACATGGTAAAAAAGTTGTTTGCTCATTAAGAAAGTCTTTTGACAATCAAAACTATCTCTGCACTATATTTGTGTATTTTATGTTACCTAAAGGTGTGTTAGTGAACTTCAACTTAGAATAGAGGACCTATGCAGTTCATACAATTCATATCTATAACACATTTTATGGATCAAAAGCACAGATTTTGCATGGCATAAATTAATAAATTGCATTGGTCCACTTTTTTACATGGAAAAACAATCTGGACACCTGCACGTCATTTAAAAATTCTGTAAAATTCCTAATTTTCACTGACTTTCAGACAATAATCTCTGTTTGACATTTAGGCATACGTTCTTTTTTCTTTTTCTGAAGTAATTTGGACTTTCTCTTTAAAACTAAGTCTTCTTCTGTCAACAGGTCACAAATGAAATTCTCTGCCCACTTTGATTTTGAAATCTTAATGGAATCAATGGATGTCTAAAAAAATCCTTTGTATCTGCTGTTCCATCTCATGCAGCTATCAATGTTGAAATATGAATTAATATTAATATTGAAATGTCACAATTCTCATTTTCCTTTAACGCTGAAACTGAAAAACAACAAAGGGGAAGGGGGGATGGGAGAGGAGAATTTTTCCAAACCCTTCTTTCTCTGTCTGAGGGGAGCTGCAGAAATCCAGAGCTTATCCTAATTAAACTTGTGCTCAGGCTGTCCCAGCTCTGGGGTTCAGTCATCACCTGCCAGTTCACCAGCAGGTTTCGCAGGATTATTTTGTACCCAGGGCATTGTCTGAATTTTTTTCCTGTGCTACAGTACACCATGGCAACCCAAACCAGTTTTCCTGATTGAAAATGGGAAATCGGAAATGTTGGGATTAAGGGACTATTTTCAATCATTCTGAAAACTGGACCATTTATTACTGCACTAGAGGCTCATCAATTCAAATTATTGTGTCAAAATCAAATCCTGTTAAAACCTACTAATGAAGAGGATTACACTTTCTCAAGCTCTCTGTGCCAGATGTCAATGATTGATGGTTACCTTATTGTACAGGTTTTAAAATTCTAAATGGGAAATGACAATACTGGCAAACAAAATTATGTAAATGTATCTTCTGTAAATGCATCTTTTATATGATTTATCGTTTTTATATATAACATTCCCCCTTGTCTTCTGGAAGCCTCCTGAAAGAAAAGGATTACAATTACATCTGCTAGCTCTGGCCGGTGCCACATGAGAATTTTTTTTTTACAATACAATGCACAATAGTCTCCTGCTATGCATTCTTTATTTATGAAAAGTAAAGAAAGTAGCGGGGGTGGAGAAGACCTTTTGGAAGTTAATAGGTGCTTCGTGCATACTAATTAGGGTTCCGTTTCTCAGATCACAGAGTAACTGTATGCTGTGGAAAGTGTCATGTGATAGACTGCGTAGCACAACTGCATGGACTTCAGAATTTCAGAGTTAAACAAAGTGCATGCTTCAGTACAAAAGACCTTCTGTTCACATAGTTTACATTGTGGCTACAAATTACGTTTTTCCTCTCTCCTTCTTCTTTTTTCCCTTGCTGTTATTTTCAGAACTCAAAATACAGACATTAAAACTGCAAAAAATCTTTGAGAGCCTTAAAATAAAACATTTTTACCTTGTTTTTTATTACTCCGAGCCAGTATGTGGTTTGTAGGATAATTGCATTACATTTAAGAATTTATCATATTCCTACAAGAACTTCACAGGATGCCTTTATTTACTGAATGCTAAAGAAATTAGTTTTTGAAGGTATGAACACAATGTTGAAACACTTTATTTTCTTTCTGGATAAAGCTGAGGCATTAAAGATAACAAATGCCATTTAACAACAAAGGTTTGAAGCTGATAGGTTGAATTGCCAGAACATTCCTATTTCCATTTGAAGGGTGATATTTGTGTGCAGTACTTTATGAAATATAAATACATTGTCAGAAATGAGTTTTTTTTTTCCAAAGATCATAAGTTTCTGCAGGCTCTGGTTTATTGACCAGATCTACTACATTTGCTATTGAAACATTCAATAAAATTACAATTCCAAAAGTGAATTTATTTGCAATAACAAATATTGTGAATTTAAGCATACTTATAACAATAGCAATAAAGATATATTCATTCGTGAAGAACATATCAGCAATTGTTTGTCCATTCTTACCCTTACAGGGGAATTTTCAAACCTTTTCTTTCAAAGTAGGATTTTCTCCTAATAAGGTTTTTGGAAAAGTATGGAGATCCCATCAAAGCTAGTGGAAAAAGTGTGGAAAGCAAACTTAAAAATAACATTTCACATTTTTCACTTAAACATAATTTTACATTTAGGAATAGAATTTTGGATTGGGCCAAAACATTTAGGTAGTATTCTTATGTGCATTTTCATGATTTTTTACAAATAAAGTTTCGTAAGAATATTTCACTTCTACTGTATAACCTTAAATTCATTTTCTTGGTTTGTTTGGTTGGGGGGGATAATGGAATTGACAGAGTGCTTCAGTCCAAAAATGTGATTCAACTGTTGTAAAAATAGTATAATAGTCTTTTTGTTACAAGACTCACAAGGAAGATAGGAAGTAAAACTGAGAGAGGGAAACAAGTATTGACTTGCATGGGTATGACTAAAAGTGCAGACATTGTTTGTCTTACCTTATTTATATAGTGACAGCTTACAATAGTTTTCCCAGGATGTTTGTTAAAATGACACATCAACTGATTCTTATCTACTTAGTAATTCTATAGAGACAGACTTATTTTGCATATTAATGGAACACTAGTTATGTTATCTTTTATGGAGCCCAAGATGATACTGTTCTTAGTGCTGTGAATACAAGGGCCATGTGTTTAAAGCATCAAATTTTCATTTAGAATTTTTCTTACTAGTGCTTAATGTAACATTTGCAGTCATATCTTAAGAGGGTATATTGTCCTTAAGTCTCCCATTCTTATTTATCCTTCAACAAAAATAGTTTTGCACTCAAGTTAAAAAAATTCTGTTTATATATATCCCAATATGTGAAGACAGCAGGTTTCAGAACAGTCAGTAAATTTTAGAATCAAGTACAAGGCAAGCAGTTCCGAAAGACAGTGTATAAAGTCCAGCATTAGTTATTGGATTTTCAAAAAGAAAAATGAACTTTCATAATCCAGCCAAGTCTTTTAACATTAGCAAGATATGTTCCAAATTTCTAGCAATTTATTGAAATTTAAGAAACCGTTGGCTCTACAATTTTCTCTCTTTTGTCAGAGGTTGAAGTAGACCATTGGTCCATGTGCTTATAAATTTTGGCAAGAGAACTAAATTTGCTACAAAGGTGTATGAGTTTATTGTATAATTAAAATGAGCCTCGGAGAGCATTAAGTAAGATGGTGTAGGATTAAAAACACACCTGCAATTAATCATAAACCTCTAAAACAATTTGGAGTTTTTGGCTTGAACTCTGTTTTTCCTCTCTTCAACTAAAGGCTTTCTTTTTTCACCTTTCTGCTTTGTTTATAAAATTCTTGTGGTCAGGGAACATTTCTAAAATAAACAGAGCTTCTTTACGTTCCATAGTTTTTATGATAGTAAGAAACCTGAAATGTCAGGTTGAGCACAAAAGTGCAACATACTATTTAAGAACTGTTAATTTAAACTTCCTAAGGCCAAACGCCATGCTTAACTGACCTGAACAGAATACGGTTAAAACTTCATGCTAAATTCCAGCTTTTGCACTGCACCTGTAAACCTCCTCAGAAAACAAAGCGGCCTTTGTTTGAAACAGCAGTACTGTAAGCCCCTGCTGTCTTCCTCCAAGTGAGAGAAGTGATAGTTCTTTTACAGACTGCTTTTGTTTTCTGTATATACAACATTCAATTTAGTTATTTAGTTTTTTATTATGTTATTTTAATGTGTCCTTTTTTTAAATCTTTCTAGGGATCATATTTATACAATTGATATGGATACATCGCATACGGAGGAAATTTTTTTTAACAAAGTAAGTATGTTTTTCCCTTCAAACTGTTCCATGTACCATGATAGCTTACGTGCTGTGCACTAATTACCTGAATGGAGTGGAACTTGAGAAGGATCCGATGACTCAGACAGGAAGAAAAAAATACTGTGACTCCCCCTTAAGCTCATGATACAATCTGGAATTGAATGGCTCTTTCGGCATGCGTCATCTTCCTGTGTACAAGGAGAAGAGAAAGCATTTACATGAACATACTAGTCTTCTTAACTTACCATGCCATTCATGATATTCAGTATAAGAAGGATATTTGTTCATTTTGATAAAGTTCACTTCCATCAGAAAAAGAACTTGAATATTTATCACAAAGTATGCTTACATAAATGGTCTGGTTCAGAAATAATTTTAAAAACAGGCAAACTGTGCAAGAGGGAATTTGCCATAATCTTTTGGAAGTATTGTGCTCATTACTCTTGTTATCTCTAGAGAGTACTTACCTTGAAAATCAGCCACAGCAATATTTTTATCTCTGTCGATTTGCCTTTGCTTTGCTCTTTACAGAAATTGACATGGAAGTCTAGACAAGGCGATGTCGACACTTGTAGAATGAAGGGAAAGCACAAGGTATGCTGATTCATTTTGAGGATGGCTTTTAAAAAGGTCACATCTGTCTCTTGTTTTCAAAGCTTCTGTAATGTAACTAGTGTTTCCATGTGTTTACTCTTCACTTGTGTGGGTTCACTGATTGTCAAAGAGCATTGAATTGAACAGCGAGTTCTTTCTGTTGGAGGTACCACAGACTGTGAATTATTGAGAGAATTCATGGCTATTTATCATATTATAAACTACAGTACCATTTTATTCTCATCATTAGACTGTATTGTGTAATTAGAAGACCTGAAATTGAGAACAAATATATATATATACTGAGTTGCATTAAAACCACAAGACATGAGTATGGGCCCCCACAGCATATGTGCTAGTAGAGATTAATTCTACACTTAAAAGCAGGAAGAAGAAAAACTAACATCTCAGATATGGAGCCTTCTTGGAGTTAAAATAAAGTTTCATGGTGAATTAAAATGTGATCAACCTTTCTGATGGACAAGAACAAAGGCCAATTCAAACAGATGTTTTTTTTTTATTAGGGAAGATTTAAACCACAATAAAGCATTTTCAATTAGACCAACAACCTTCTAATATCTATTAAGCAAGATAAAATGATCAACAGTGTCAAAGGACAATATCAGCATGTACTATGTTCCTGCAGAAAACATTGGGTAGAAAGAGAATCCTCACCAGATCATTCACAACTCTGAGAAGAGCTTGTAACTGTACAGCAAATGTCTGTTCTAAAACCTTTGTTAAGAAAGGTCATTTATCTTTAAATGAGGTTCACACCTTCCACGACCTCTCAATGTAAAGATAAGAGAATGCTTGAACTTTCTAAAACTTTTATTGTTACCCATTTTTCCAAGCATACCAATTAAAACAATGCATAATTCTGTGCTTTACTGTGATTACAATGCATATAAAAACATTTTAAAATTCTTATATTCACAGACCCAATTTTTTTTCAGTTATTAAAATTATTTTTACATTCCATACTAAAAATATGTGTTGTGATATTAGTAGTGATTTGTGGTTTTAGCTTCAGTTACAGGTATTCAAAGCCTACTTAAAACACATTTTCCATGAAGGCAATACAAGCATTCCATTGCTTATGGGAGTTTTTCTTTGTTTTCTTCAAGGACGAATGTCATAATTTTATAAAAGTTCTTCTTCAACAAAACAATGATACATTGTTTGTATGTGGAACAAATGCCTTCAACCCTGCATGCCGAACGTACAAGGTATGTTTCTTATTTTCTTTTCCAGTCTTGTAGCTAATGGTAAACATTAATGGAGTTTATGATTAAAACAAGTAATTGAAAATAAATAATTAGAATTAATCATTGAAAAGTAAAGATAATGGCGGATAAATCCGTTTGTACATCATGTAGTAACAGGTAATGATTTCAGATTCACCATATATCTTTTTTTCAATGATGTTAATCTAAATTTTCATCATCCTTATCCATATTCAACTGTACTCCTTAAAAGACGTTTTCCAAACTCATGGTTCAAGTCTGTTATCCCATGCAGTCTTGAGTGCAGCTGTTATCCAGATTAGTAATGGAAAACTTCACAATGGATCACACACCATTATAAAAACCTGAGGTTACACAGCTACTTATTTCCTTGAAGGACACTCAAAGAAATCTCAATGTCTTGCACACTGTCCTCAAACAACTTAAGTTTCATTTTTTTTTAGACCTTGCTATATGCACTCCTTGCACTGTGTAATACCTTTGGAATGTAACGGCAAGACACGTTTATCTTTTAGTAAAATGAAAAAATGAAAAATGAAAAAAAAAACAACGAAATCTTGTTTTGTGAATCAAATGAATGCCAAGCTCACAGAATTTCTAGGACATCTGGAATTCTTATCTGTGACACTTTTACAGTGTAATACTTCATTTTAGATCCTGTTGGCCATTGTTATCTGGGTATGAATTATTCAAATGTAATAGTTTCCTTGTTGGCTTAAATGGCCTTTTTCACTTTTCAAGTAATAATTCAAGTAACTCTGAATTTTACAAACATTTTAAAATCATCATCTTAATTTCTCATCTGTATGCTATTCTTCGGGACTCTAATAATTTATCATTTCTTAAGCGCAGGCATTATGATAACAGTCTACATTTCTTTAGCACTAGAGCACTTTCTCTTATCATTTAAAAATAAACCAAAATCCTTTCAAATCAATCTATTTGATTTAATGAAGCAATGGAATTGAAGGTCTATATTCGATTGATAAAGAACCTCTACAACTTATAAGAAAAACTGGAAATCTATGATTTTTTATCTGTCAAGTCATTCTTAAGTACTGAACGTGTTGTTAAATTCTAAGGATTGAAGATTAAAACAGACTAATATACTAACAAAAGCATCTGTCAAATTGCTCATATTTGGTGTGGATGGAGATCAGGCACTTTCAGTTGTGTGTTCGTATGTTGAGCTCCTGTGCCATAGAGGCCTCGGATGGAAAAAGTATCATATGACACTAGAGGGAAGGGGCGCTATGTAGTGTACATGAAAGTCAGGATGAACAGTTAGAAAACAGGGCTTGTGATGAAGTATTGTTTAACCAGCAAGTCCAAGCAGGCCTCTGAATAAAGAGTATTGGAGTTCAAAAAGATTTAATGAATGACACAGAACAATCTTTAAATGCAGCCTAATTGTAATGGGGAGAAGCTCATACCAATTGACAGCTCTGTTGGCAATAGCCTCCTCAGCAGAAGATAACCCTTTTAATCTCGTTGGCTTAACTCTAGTGTCTGAAAGAAGGAGCTGCACGTGTGCACATCTACCTTGGCTGCAGTTTTCTTTTCCTCTTCCCTCGTGTGATTGGCCTGAATGGAGCTCTGTTTCAGGGGCTGGCACATTTCACATTAATCAGAGTCACTTGACAGGGGGAGTGAAAATCAGTACAAATGTTCTTGTCAGCAGCATCTAACCTCATCCATCCATCCCTAGCCCCATCTGCAGCCAGCTCCAATTCCTACCCAAATATTTGTGTTTCCAGCTCTGCTTATCACAGTTAATGTTCCCAATAAACACCTTTCTAGTCTCTTGCCACAGACAGCCTCTATTTTTTCTTATTCCTCCTTTGTTTTCTTCCTGATATTTTATTAGGATGAGTTAACCAGGACTCACTAATGGCTTTTACAGCTGCATTCCTACCTTGATATATTGCTAGTATTGATGACATCACCTGTTGCTGCGCTGTGTTAGGGATTTAGTGCTGATCTTTGCAGGTCACATGGGTACTTGCAGTACTTCTTTTTCACCATCTTTAATAACTGAGAAGGGCTGAAAAGGGACCTACCTACCCTTAATAACTGAGAAATGCCTGAGACAAGTCAAAGCAGTGGATATTGATTTTGTGGCACCTCGGATTCTGAGCCAAAACTAAGATTAAACTGGAATTACACAATTCATCATGACAGAGATTAGATTGGAATATCGTAATTTATTCTGACTGCGAGGCCAAGGAAGACAAATGTTTTCATATAGGTTCAAAGCATCACAGTACTTTGGGGTTTTGCAGACAGCAAATTAGAACTTTGTGTTAGGAATGATAATTATTTTATAATAAATAATTATTTATTAAAGCACATCTATGTAGAACATTTCATTCAGAAGTATCCCAAACAGTACAAGAGGACCCAGTGAAGTACAGCATTAACCTGGGTAATGCATGGCACTGATGCATCAGGAACCCAGTACACTTTAGCCTGCACAGCAAGGTTAACATCCCTGCTCTTTAATGATCAAGTCAGGGCCTCTAGATTAACATCTCATCCAAAGGACAGCACCTCTTACATGACCAAATCTCTGTTCACAGTACATCGCCATTGATTTTGCTTGAAAATTCTTATCCAGAGGGAAGAGTGAAACATACTTGTCCACGAAAAGCACTTACAGCAACAACACGATTTTCCTTGGAGGTCTCACTTCCCAGTGCTGGCCAGGCCCAGCCTTGTTTAGATTGTGAGATCTGACAAGATGAACTGACAAGGTGATAATGCAGCTGCAGTGTGGTTGTATTGGCCATCATATTTGACAAGAAAATGGGGTAAAGAAATCAAGAAAGATGATTTAAAGCATAAACCAAAGTATTTTATTTGTTACACTGAGGGGTTGGCATCAAATATCTGCTGTCATTACATTCTCAGATTGATTGATGGAAAGTTTATTTTATTCTTTAGTACTACAGTTAAGGATGTTCACTTGCATTGTAAAATGTAGTTGACTGAATTTATACACCTTTTATAAGGAAGTAGAGAATTCAGATTCATTTCTGTATATATGTTCAAATTAGGACATTTATTTGATGCGTATATATGTTTTTAGTATATTTGTGTTAGGTTAGGCATTACAAAAACCTGGAACTCGATGGAAGTGTGTTGAATTTAATTAAAAAGAAAATTTATTTCTTTACCGGATAAAATCAGCTTACTGTTCTTTTTTGCCTGCTTCGTGATCTATAGACCTCATATGTGTCCCATTTATTTGTCTGCCTCTTCTTTCGATTTCTCTCCACAAGGATAAATCAATGACTGTTTGCCAAAAACCACAGACCGCAAAGTTCCTTGAACTGTTCTGAAACAGGTTTCAGTGACTTTCACCCAGTGAACGGGTGGAGAGAGAGTTGAAAAAGCTGCATTTTCTTGTTACCTGTAGATGTACTGGAACATCTTAAAATGCTTGAAAAAATTAGGAGTATGAAAAATGAGGAGTGTGAAACAGAATGTAAAAATAATTTAGATTGTTAAATTTAATTGCAGTTATCCTTCTTCAAGGTTCAATTATCTTTTTACTCTCATTTGGCGTTTTAAAAAAGTTATGGTTTATGTGGTAATTAGTTGAATTTCGAGAAGTAGCTCCCAACAGAGCTCTTTAAGTGCTTTGACTTTTTTACACAGATTTTGTAAGTTCTTCTTATGTTGGGCAGGTTCCATTGAGATTTGAGCAAAAGGAGATGCTAAAAAAGTAGAGCATAATATTTTTATTTTGACCAGCCTCCCTTTTTCGTCAGGAAAAGCTTGAAAGCCTGTAAACCTGCACAGATAAGCTAAAATAGATCTTAGTCATTCTAAACGAAGTACCTAGCACTTGATAGAACACCTTACAGTATATGTAAATGATCAACTACATTTAACCCTACTACAGGATAATTAATTTCTACCCACACACATTCATTCACTTATCAATGTGTGTAATTAAATATGGTCAGAAGGCAGCCCTACCAGAGATATTCTGAAATCCCTCTCCCTGATTTGCAGATGGATTCCCTGGACACAGTTGGAGAAGAGATCAGTGGAATGGCTCGATGCCCCTATGATGCAAAGCACGCCAATGTTGCTCTTTTCGCTGGTACGTTCATACACCAAAATGTAAAGATGTCTGTGTTGTACCCATGAAGAATGCCATAGAAATGTGCTTTTGTCGTTGAAAACGGTGCTTTATTCAGAATTTTGTGTTTCCTTAATTGTGTACTTAGTCCTGTAAGAGGAATCAGTTTTCAAATAAGAAAAAGATTATAGCTTCAGCATAGAAAATAAATATTGCCTATATATTCTTTATTACAAAACAAAGGCAGTATATTGCACATAACTGTATATCATTATTATGAATACCATCTTGTCACTGTAAAATTAGGCAGAATTCACAGAGGAGTTATGTATAAATGGAAAAAAACATTGGTATGTTATGTAATCAGTGGTATGATACTCAAAACAATTGCAACAATTAACCGTAATGTAGTACAATATAACATGATTTAGCAGTTTTACTGCAGTAATTTTAATTCCCCTGTCAAATTAAATTTTGAAATGATACATATTGCAGTCCTTGTAAAACAAAAATAAACATATTTGATGAAAAACTATGTAACAAAAACAACTCACTTATCAACTGATTCTTTTAGGAAAAGTCCCTTCATAAATCTCAGTTTTGGTGTAACGTTATATGGAGAGACCGTCATTTTTATGTGACTTATGTTATCCCTGTCCACATTTTTAAAAGATAAGGAGGCACATTCAAGGAGGTTGTTGACTTATATTGGTAAGATTCGCATGACGAGTTCTGCCACAGATGGAAATCTTCTTGTCATGCTTCTCTAGATTTGGAAAACATCCCTGTTCCTTATTTCTTAAGCTGCTCCACAATAAGCAGAATATTCAGTTTTTCAAAAGTTGTATGAATGCCATGGCCTCACAAATATTAAGGTGCTTTAATTAAATAATTACCTTTTTATGCAATAGATCTTTTCATCCCAAGTGATGAAATAGGAGTGTCCACTTCAGTCACCACAGATGTGTCACACCACACCAACCTGCGTGATAAACAACAACAGTTGTAATCATACAGAACAGCCTCACTATGTAGCAGATGATGTGATGAATGCCTTTACCAGATTAATGGATGATTGAAGTTACTACCCCTAGTATTCCAAACTGCCACGAGATCTATAAAGACCACATAGTCAGGACCTCTGTTTAATGTCTCTTCCAAAGGACATGTCCTGTACAAAAGTGTCTACCATTTTAGGTAATTCAGCAAGCACTGAATGAATGAATTCCACTCCACTCGATTACAGATTGCAGCCTTTCACACCACCCCCTGAAACGTGTCTTTCAAATTTCCATCTGCTTCACTTGCTAAGTTGTTGTTGCAGAGTCAGTCATTGGTAATTAGCAGTAGCAAGTTCATTTTGTTTCTTCTTTTCCATTTGTCATGTTTATGTTAATTTATAGTTCTAGTTTGTCATGTTTATGTTTTTTTTTCCTTTTTTTGTGCGTTGCACCTGAAGAGCTAGCCAGATCACTGATGTATAGTGTATACATTTTGAGAAATTCTAAATTTGTGTGGTAAAACATCGTAACACACCGTATCCCTTGAGTTGCACAGGCCTCAACAAGGCTTTAATCAGACTGTCAAAATGCATAATAAGATCATAGGTCTGTCATCCATGTCATGTTTATACATAATAATGTTGCCAGTCCCCAATGAATGCAGCTTCCAGTGGTATCTGCCCTCCTCCAACACCTGACCAAAGTGATCCAGATCCACACAATTCACATTCGTAAAAAAAATAATCTTATTTACTTATTTAGTCTGGTCTATAATAAATCACATTATAAGAAAGAAGGATTTAAGGATTCAGACTAATACATAAGGAACTACAGTGGCTTGTGCCTGGGAGTCACATGTAAAGTTACTATGTGATCTGTAAACATAGTATGATTGTGTTCATTAGTCACTTATTTCATTGATGATCGATTGGCTGCTGAATTGTAAATCATTATCTACTGTAGAGATAACAAACAAGGAAAACGGTAGTTGAAGGGCCAGCTTGTGTCTTCCTCTCTGTGGAGCACAGGTTTCACTTGGTGACATTTGTTGTACTGTAGCTGTAGCCCATTAAGTAAGTTTAAATAAAAGTATTTATGTGGTCTTGGTAACTGTATTTTTAAATGTTTTTTCAGGCTCTTACAGTAGTTTATATTTATAGTATATATTGAGTTACATAAACTTGTGTATATCAAATTTGTAGCCAAACAAGTTGTACTGTTTTCATCAGTTGTAAATATAGTAACTACTGATGCCTGGAAAGGTCATGCAATATCTTTTCTGAACAGTACATTTCAAAATGATTTGTTGTTTAAGAAATGCACTCAATATACTGTATACAATTTAGCCTTTATTAATGTTGTATTTCTTTCACAGTGATTTCTTGTTGCATTGGCACATGCCCATTTTATATTATTGAATTAATGAGGAGAATATAAAATATTTCAGGGCCTATGAACAAAGAAGCGTTTCTGGAGGTCTCAACTTAATTACATAAATGCAATGTGGACATCTCAGTGGAAAATTAGACATAAGAATATTCAGCGATTGCCTCACATTAAGAACAAGACAATAACAAAAACTGCAGTGTGAACTAGCTTTTTAGGATGATGTGTAGCTTGTCCAGATTGTTTTACTGTTAGATTCTCTAATTCATCCCCATTGATATAAATTGCTAACTTAATTATTATCCTCTTTTTTCCATTTTTCTATGGCAGGGTAAACATTTCAGGGCTACCCCTTAATTTCTGACAGAGTTGTAAATCTCTGTGTAATTTAAAAATCCAAACCATTTAGTCTTTCGTTGCCTCTCCAATTATGCAGTTAAAATTTCCAGTCCAGTGTTCCAGCATGTATTGAAATGATTTCAGTCATCCAGCTTATTTTCTTTGTGTGTATGACTGATGTGGGAAAATGAGTGCTGGTCTCTTTCTTTTCTCTCCAGATGGGAAGCTTTACTCTGCCACGGTAACGGATTTTCTAGCGATCGATGCTGTCATTTATCGCAGCCTTGGAGACAGTCCAACCCTGCGAACAGTCAAACATGACTCAAAATGGCTGAAAGGTGAGTAAACCGATGTGTACATCAGACAATTCTTAAAATGTTGATGGAAACACAATGCGTCTGAATGCAGGGTCAGGTCACAGACAGAGTTCTGGGATTTGGCAGAAGGAAATGGGTTCTTTGGTTCTGGAGGCAGGTTTGAGCTATGCATGTAAGAACAGTTGCCGTGCTAAACGCTTCAGATAGCAGCTTCACTGTCCTCCTTGCCTGACCGTTGATTTAATGAGTAATGTTTAAGACAGCTAAGCTCTGCCTATGCCTGATTTTGCTTTTAAGCTAGCCAGTTGTTAAGCACCGAGGAAATAAGGAAACTGCATTTTCAGATGTAAATCAGATGTGTTTTAGATGTTGGCTCCAAAGCTTTATAGTCCCCCCTTCATCAGCTGAAATTAGGCTAACATTCCTGACATCTTGACAAGTCAAGCAAAACATTTTTGTTGTTTATGAAATGCACACAAGCTATATAATTTAGCCTTCTACCTTCGGAGCCAAGCCACAGTTTTGGCATTAGTATTTATTTGGAAATACTGTAACCAGTGTTTTAAAGTCAAATGTATTTCATTTCTACTGTGTAGTTAGAAGCTTCTGTAATTAAAATAACATGGTGGCTTCAATTAAAGTTACATCGGATAGGTCTCATCAATATCCCATATTTGGCTCATTTTTTGCTGTTTGATTCTTTTTGTTAGAAATTGCCCTGTAATAATCCTTCTTTTTCTTTTTTTCAGAGCCATACTTTGTACAGGCAGTGGATTATGGTGACTACATCTACTTCTTCTTTCGTGAAATTGCAGTGGAGTACAACAGCATGGGGAAGGTAAGTCTGGGCTAGAGAACGTGGAAGCTACAACAGACTTTGCCTCACACTGCAGCAGAATATTGGTGTAAAACAGTTTCCGAAAACACTCTGGCTTCCTTGATAAGACCAGAAACCGGATAAAACATTGGCACATAAATGAGGTGGTTGTATTGAGTGCCTTGTTGTTTTTTGCAGGAAGAACATAAACTTTACTAAAATATATTAAACTAAATAGTCCATTCTATGTACTGATGTAAACAGAAATGTTGCAGTTTTGAAAGTGATTGAAAAAGAATGATAATACTGTTTAAATACATTAGGAATATATTTTTAATATACAGGATATTCGCATACACATATCAGTCACCTCAATCACTGAATGATTTGTTCAAGTTTCTTTATGAATGTTTGTAAAGGATCAAAGGAATAATGGCTTTCTGAATATTTTATGCATTAAAAGGGTTTGACCATTTTTGAAAGACTAAGCCGATCTTGCTGCTATTGCTGAATCAATTCTTACATAGAGAGAATTCTATATGTAAAGATATTTGTTTAGGAAAAAGAAAATGTGACCTCTTGCAAATGATGTACTTCTTCCATAACATAAAACCCATTTTCTAGGGAATACTATTTCCCCCCACACCGTTTGGCACATTTAATTGAACTACAATTTCAATATTTAGGATGAAAACAGAAAAAATAGTTGCTAGGAAAAACAATTTATGCAAATTCACTATTCTATTTTCATATTGAAAACATCAGTAGAGGGCATACAATTTTATTTCTAAAATGAGGAAACAGCATTTATTTTTTTGTTGTCTGTGAAAACAGTATCTAGGACATTAATTCCAGGTGAGCAGACTGATTACAATTGTATATTGAAATTTCTAACCTACAGTTCCTAATTAGTCAAGATAAGAAGGTTAGAAAGGTTAGAATCTAAGTAACCTTTGCACGTATGAGTTCCTGAATATCTACTGTCATAAAAACTCCTGAAGGGTTTCTGATATTATTATAAATGTCAGAACCAAAAGGTCTAAAAATTATCTGTTTTAGGTTGCTGCATGCAAGAGATAAAAAAGAATCTTTCCAGCTTTTCAGTTACTGAATTCTGAATCTATTCCCACATGTTTAAGTGTCCTTTTGGTAAACGGAGACTTGAGTTTATCACATTATTCTAGAGCTGGAATAGCACCGTGGGTGGATAGAAAGAAATATTCAACATACCAGATAATTTCTGATCTTTTTTTTTCAATTGTCCTGGCAAAACCCACTGTGGAGACGATTGGAGAAACGCAGTTTTCTGACCCAGAAACCTTTTGCCCAGGTTGTTTTTCCCAGGGTGGCACGAGTGTGCAAGAACGACAGAGGAGGGTCTCAGAGGGTGCTGGAGAAGCAGTGGACTTCATTTCTCAAAGCTCGTCTCAACTGCTCGGTCCCTGGGGATTCCCATTTCTATTTCAACATCCTCCAAGCTGTGACTAACGTAATCCAGATAAACGGCCGTGATGTAGTCATGGCAACATTTTCAACACCCTACAACAGGTATTACTTTTTGTTGTTGTTGTCTAGTCTAGTGGATTGAAAATATTTTCTTCTCAGGCACTCTGTGAAACCTTGTCTTTTATGTCTTACATAATGCATATACCCACCTAATGATAGTGCAAAATAGTGGCTGACAGAACTACACTGCAAATACTTATCGGTATGAACGTTCTTTTACTCACCGTTAGTGCTAGTGTATCCCTGTTTGACGTCTTTTACGGCTTTTTACTTATGACACTGGGGAAGTATTCAATATCCTTCTGAAAATATCCTCCATACTTCTATGGAGGTACTTTGAGAGCCTTCAAATAGATCGGTTACCTGGCACCTAAAACTTCCATGAGTTCCATTACATTTAAATAGAGTTCAGGATAGACAATATTCAATTCAATTTTGTATAGCGCCTTTCACAACAAGGTTGCCCAAAGGCACTTAACAAAGCTGTGTGACAACACATGACATGACAGTAGAAATAAGCAGCCCAATACTTGGATTTATTTCTTATATTAAAATTTGTTGTTGACGTGCTTCACAATGTTATCACAACCAATTGTGAACTTGTATCCAATATGCCCGAGAACGACAGATACTCTTTTCTACACAATGAGTTAAAGCAGGCATCGCGGTAGAACCATTCATGTGTTAGCACACCAGAGACAATGCAGCCGCAGGACGGCAGTTCTGTGCCAGTTGGAAAAACACCAACACTGCAAAGAAGGGGCAGGCATCACTTGGAGCCAAAAGAGCCCCAGTCAACTAATTCTAACCTTCCTTCAGCAGTGCTCAGGTAATTCTGTGCCACCTTTTATGGAATCACTCATAGTCAAATACTGATGTGACTCAGCTTAGAATTCACAACATATGGATGGTTGAACTCCAGTTGTGCTCAGGTGTACACCTTTGCTGGTTGAGTACAGATGCCCCTTGGAACACTGCAGACTGTTAGCCGTCATTATTTCTATATGTTAGTTTATTACATGTGCTAGTTTTTAGTAACATTTCTTGGCATCCCTTCTTCCCTGCTTCTAGTATCATTGTACAGTTCTTTTACTCTCTGAGGTTACCAAGTTGAACTGCAGGGCTTTTGTTATTAGATAAGAGATTTCTTGAACTCTTAAACAACTTGTATTTAATACTTTAGTTTGGATAGAGTTCTCTTTTTGCTTGTTTATTGGCACCACTCAAAAACTGATTGGTCTGTAAATGTTTCTGCCAAAAGTTGTATTGCTTTTTCCTTGTTTATTTAACTTTTTCAGGTTTGTCTCCTACTCTTTAGTCATGGCTGTTGCAGAAGTAATTACCTTGAATGCCTTACAGAATGCCTCAAAATTAAGAGGATAGACAGACTTTCAATAATGTTTGTTAGATTTTGTAGAGGGTAGATTTGGCTGTCTTCCTATTACATGCCCATCATTACAGTTCTAGTTTTAAATTTGTATTTTTTTTTACTTTCTACAAATACAAAAAAAAAACATATTTTGGTATTTTATTAATATAATATATGATTCTGACATTTATCATGTTGCATGTTTTTTTATCATCAGTTAAAGTAAGAAGGCAAACATTTAATTTTTTATTGTATTTGAACAATTTTTGTTCCGTAAGTGTAAAATTACCCATGAAAAATATTTGGATTAAATGCTAATTATTACTATAAGGAACAGTGCACAAAGTGATCACATAACTGAAATGCCCTGGCTTGTTTTTAATCCTCAAAATCCACATTAAAAAACATTTAAATGTTTCTTCAAATACATGGATACTTACATTATCTTAATGTATTCCATTATATAAATTGTGTGTGGAAGCAGTTCAAGCTTAAAATTATAAACTGTATCTTTATTTGTTTGCTGCTTATTGCATTAAATTATAGATATGGAAGACTTTGGGCCTGTCACCTAGTGAGTTCCATCGTTCTTTGTTCTGTTTTGAGCTGCATTACCAGTCGGATAATGACATAAAAGTGGCTTCCTATGAAGCACTGACTTGCAGAATGAATATCCTAGCAAGCACAATGACTCTGTTTCATGAATTTAAAAATTTAACTATTTGCACGGTTAATTAAGAAATACAATCATAAGCATAACATCTGTCTAACAACTTATTCAGCACTAGGACATAATCTTTTGATTAGGTCATGTATTTTAACTAGTGGGAGGAAAGAGAAAAGGCTTTCTTTCAAATTGCTTTATGTTTCAGTTGGATAGAACAGCCATAAAATTGGAAAAAAACAGTCATTATCTTGACAGAGTGCCTATACATTTAGTGCCTTGCTTTCTGTTCTTGACATATCTAATGCTCTCTGATTTGTGTTATTTACAACTCGCATTATGAGGTTAATAGAATAAGTTCTCTGTAGCTGCCACAATTCTGCCCTTTGTCTACAACCATAGTGACTGCCATGAATCTAATGTTGCTTTAAGTTACCCTTTAAAAAAAAGAGTTGAATTTAGCATATGATTCAGAGAAATGTTATGCATAGCTCTCATTTCAGTAAGAAATATGTCTTGTGCAATGTCGAATTGCAGCATCCCCGGTTCTGCAGTGTGTGCCTATGACATGGCAGATGTTGCCAATGCCTTTACTGGAAGATTCAAAGAACAGAAGTCCCCCGACTCCACTTGGACTCCCGTCCCTGATGAGAGAGTGCCCAAACCGAGGTAAACATCTCGTTTCCCTGTTCCAGCAGTCAGTGGAGAGAAGAAAAAAATAATTCCCTCTGAATAAACGAAGAACGCAATTCTAAAAAGAATTTCACAGATGGCTTAGTGATTCTCTTATTGCACTAACCAGATATACTTTTGTTCTAATGTGTACCTAATTAATTCAGTTCCTTGGACCTTTTGTGTCTTAAAAATAGCTTTAACAGAAAGATCTTTACAGGATAATTGCTACTATGCACATTCCATATGGCTTACGTTGCTGTTAAGAGATAGAGCAGCAGGATATTTTATAGATGAATAACATAAAATCATTCCCAGTATCTTGTAAAGTCAGGTGTTGGTGTGATATAAAATCTGAGAATAAACGAAAAGGAGAATTCTCAGAAGGTCTAAGGAATGTTCATTCTCTTCTTGACCTTTTAAAAAATATTTTTATTTAAAACTACAAAATAAATATTATTAAACATTAGCACTTAATTTTATGAATGCATCAATTAACTCTGTCTTAGAGAAGACAAAATGTAAGCAAAGATTTGAATTGTACTGTACATTTAAAAATGAAACTGTTTTCTGTTATAGACAACTTAAGAATACTGGTGTATGGCCAAATGTATTTCCCATTCAAGGGGGAAATTGCGTTCAAGTTCCCGTAAAGAAAAAAAATCATACACATACAAAGGATTTCCTGTTCCTTCTTAAAAAAAATAAACTGATTTCCTTTTGTTTTCAAGCTTGATGGCATTTGTGTTCATAACTCACCATGTTTACTAAGCAGATCATTGAGAACTCTGCCTGTTTTGTCTCCTCAACAATTACTCTTTTTGTCCCCATCAAACAGGCCGGGTAGTTGTGCTGGGTCAGCATCAGTTGAGAAATACAAAACGTCCAATGAATTTCCCGATGATACCTTAAATTTCATTAAAATGCACCCGCTAATGGATGAAGCAGTGTCATCCATTGCAAACAGACCATGGTTCTTGAAGACAATGGTTCGGTGAGTAGGAGTTCCTGCAGTAGTTGTCAGGTTGCTTGAGTATGTATTCCGATATGTATAATAATTTGAATTAAGTATAAAATCCAATATAAGTTCATCTGAATTATTACTAGTACAGTTGGAACTAAGTTGTTGGAACCTTGTTTTTCTTGTGAGGATTGTAGGATTAGGATTTCTTCCTTCTGCTGTTATTTTCACATGCACATGAAACTCATTAAATTTGGCAAATTGTTTAGGTCTTTGGGGAAAGTTGCACTGGTAGGTTTGATGATTTGCATTCCATATAGGATTTGTATCAAAATGGTATGACATATTTATGATGAAAAAGTGTTCACGACAAGATGACTGGCCATAAGGTTTGACTTCCTTCTTGGGTTTGGCAAAAACAAAAGTTCTCTGGTGAAGCCATGAGGCCGAACAAGGGGAAACTTGATATACATCAGTGGGCCATGTTGTCTGTTAAGATTGTTCCTGGCAAGCTGATACTTTAAAAAACATTGGCAGCATGAGTCATTAAACATGAAGGTGTATTTAATTTTTATGCATTGTATTCCATTTTGTCTTAGTGGTACAGTGCGCCATACTCATGAAACTCCGTCCTACAGCTCACGGTGAATTATTTGGATGTCACTTCCCTATGCAGATTCAGGAATTGCTCACAATTTTCAAAAGATCTTCTTTTAAAACAATGAATGTCCAGGTCTGAAACCTGGTGCAAAATGTTACCAGCGTCATGTCCGAGATCTGAGTTGTTCAGGAAAGGTAGTTAGACTTCCATTTTTGGATTTGTTAAATAGCATTCAAAGAACATTTTCATCCAAACAAGAGGTTCCCTCTTCGCATTGTTCAAAATGATGTTTAATATGCATCTTTGCAAAATGTTACAAAGTATACAGTATATATTTGTAGGCTCATGAATCATTTCACAGAGCAAAAGTATTCTAAAGCTTTTATAATCTACAAATGAATATGACTTCAAATTAAAGTGCAAAACTCTCTCTCAGCTTCTGAAAGATGCCAGGTAGCACATTGGTATTCTGGATCACATATCAGAAAACATGTTCTATGTAGGAAACCTTGATTTATAAACAAATATGAAAATCTGTATGTAGGCTTGGCACTTGGTCATTCTTCTTCTTATAATCAGAATTTGCTTAGCAATTAGCTAATTACGATAATACAGTGGTTTTAATCAAGGTAAATGCATACAATTTGTAAATTCCTAACATGTCCACCTCATATTTACATGGCTCATGCTAAAAAACTGTTTTCTTCACAATGTGCAAGAAAACAACTAGTTTTGGTTCTAAAAAATAAATTGTTTTACAACAATACTATATTTGTACAAACCTAGCAAAATATTTCTATAGTAAATGCCTGGACAAAGGAGACGTAAATATTTATGATGCTACTGAATTGTTGGTAAATTAATTCGCTTGGAGATAGAAAAAGGAGTGCAAGTGTGGATCTTCAATAAAAGCTTTAACAAATAATATACAAATGCATAGCTTTCACACGTAATGGAGATATATACAGTTACAGACTGGAGAGGATAGTTGAATCTATTGGCAAGGCTATGAATGGGGATTTTTATTTCTACTATTAAGGAATCCATACTGCTTTGCCGAGGCAAACAGAAAATAAGGGACTTAATTCACCTGAAGATCACATCTACTGTAACAATTGTACTCAGTTACTTCTAGTAGTATCAGTACACCCTATTTTATGCAAGTTTCAAGCTTATAAATGTTATCAGCTATGAAACTGTTTATAGAAGCGTTTCTCATTGAAGGTTGCAACACTAGGAGGACAGGAGGTTTAGAGGCCACAGTTCAAACTTCAGCTAGGTGGAAGCCTGAAGTCTAAGTGAGAAGCCTAAGGTCTAGGAAGTATAGCACACCTTACCATTTGTTACAGATTGTACACGTTTCCATACCAAAGAGCTGATCGGCAGTCTAAATCCTTTCAAATGTACTATCCTGTTGGACAAATGACAATGAAACCAGTCTGAAACAATGAAACCTGCTTTGTCTCTTTATAGATACAGACTGACCCGCATTGCTGTGGATAATGCTGCAGGACCTTATCAGAATCACACCGTCGTTTTCCTTGGATCAGAGAGGGGGATCATTTTAAAATTCCTGGCCAAAATGAGCAGTGGTTTCTTAAATGACAGTCTTTTCTTGGAGGAGCTGAATGTCTACAACCCAGAAAAGTGTGTATCTCATTAGATCCCTGGTCAGAGTCATCCAAGGAGATGGCTTGTCTTTCATTTAAATAATTTTATCAAGTTTCATTGCAATACAGTGGTTAGTAAATTAGAGAGCTCATGGAACTTGTATTCTGAAGTTCCTCCATATATACCCTGCTTATAGTTAATAGAAGATTAGTCAAGAAAAAAGACATTGAAACTGTGTTGGCCTTTCAAGGCAACTTAGACATTCCTTTTAATGTCCTCTTGAAGATAGCTATACTTACAAATGCAGAACAGATTTATTTAAAATGAAAAGCAAATGTCGTCTTGGTAGGTTTTGCATTTACAACTTTAATGATTTAAATATAAATGCAGGGAAGGTTTTTACTTTTACTTTGAACTGATTGAGGTCATTTAAAAGATGCATGTTGTCGCACAGTGCAAGGCTTTTAGTAATGGTAGAGTGTGCTGAAGGACAAGCCAGCTCTTTCTTGTTTTACCAGCAAAAAATGCCTTGGCTGTAAGTCATATGGTTTAGCGGTTAGTGTAAAAGTGACTCTGCAAGGGAGGAATCACTGGGGCGAGTGCTGACTTTGTATTACAGAGCCTAGATGTAAGCTCTAATTGAGAACTGTGATGTAGATTGACTTCCCTCTTTTCTAGATAAATTACCCTAAGATCAAAGTTAGTCTCTCAGCCTTCAAGCTCTTGTGTCCAAGTGTTTCTTAGCTCTTTGTAGCTTGGCATAAGGTCTGAAATTAAGGTTGACAAGCAGAGGCACTATAACATTTATCTTTAAACTACTGCTGCTTTAAACTTTAAAGGTAATTGCTCAGCCTTACCATGCACATGTCTTTTGTTTTTGCCAGATGCAGCATTGATGGTGTGGAGGACAAGAGAATTGTTGGTATGCAGTTAGACAAAAAAGGGGGTTCCCTTTATGTGGCTTTCACATCTTGTGTCGTAAAAGTGCCACTGTCAAGATGTGAACGTCATGGCAAATGCAAGAAGTAAGTTTTTTTTGCTTATTATTCTGTAATTGAACAAACACACACATGTATGTATGCAGTCCATATATATATTGTTTTAAACCTTCCAAATCCTCTTACTGGCTAGTGTAGTTCAGTTTTTGAGATTGTCTTATGTGCATTGGTTTTGAAAAGCTATGATAAGCAGTGTCTTAAAGGACACTGCAAGAAAAGAGTTGTTGAATTGGAAAAGAGGTTTTTATTGGTTTTAATGCATCTTTTGAATTCTAGTATTAACATGGAAGTAATTAACGTGCATCAATAGAGTTTGCAAAACACAATGTAATTATAATGTAAATTTGAAAACATAGATCATTTAAATCTTTTCTCTTAAAGGGCATGCATTGCATCACGTGACCCCTATTGTGGATGGGTAAAAGAAGAAACATGCACAGACATCTCACCTGACACCAAGTAAGACAGAGCTATCACACTGCATTTGATTTCATTGAACATTACTGTTTGTTTGCCAGGTTGTTATTAATTAATAATAGCATAGTAAGAGTGATTTCTAGCATTTTTTCAAGTTGCTAAACATACAGAAAATGTTCAAAAAATATAAATGAATGGACTGTGGTGCAGTAGTTAGCATTGCTGCCTCACAGTGCTGGGGCCCTGGATTCAATTCCAGACCTGGAGTGCTATCTATGTTCATGGGGGTTTTCTCCTGGTGCTTCAGTTTCCTCCCACAGTCCAAAAACACGATGGTAGTTTTTTTGGCTTTTGGGAAACGTGGCCCCTAGGTGCAAGTGTGTGCAGGTTTGTATCTGTGTGTGCACCATGATGGAATGGCATCCTATCCAGGGTGTATCCAGTCTTGTGTAGTTGTGTCCTCCTGGGGATAGGAAGTGGCAGTCCCACGATCCTGTACTGGATGAAGCAGTTAGATAATGGATGTATGGATAATGTAAGTCAATGCTAACCCTACCACCCTAGATGGATGAAATAACCGTTATAACACGTCATATTATCTTATTCACTAAAAGAGTATCTGCCTCCTAGTACTACATATAGTTAAAAATCATTAGGAGTTCAACATCTGCCATCGATATTTATTACAATTGTAAAAATAGGACAGCTACTACTGCAAAGCATATTGTATTTCACCAGAATCTGTCATTATTTTCTGAGCAGAGCTCTGATGGTTTTGATAGAGTTTCCATTTCAGTCTGTTTTGGGAATTGGGTGGACTGAGGCATTAAGAGGTGACGTGACCTTGACGTTACAGTATTCTTAAGTGGGTGAGCTGGGATTAAACAATCATGATCTCTGAGCTTGTAGTCTGCTGCTGGAAACATTTGACCATAAGCACTCCAAAGTTTAAAAAAAGAAAAAAAATGGTTTAATTCAAACAGACTGTGGAAATTTTGTAAAGGCCACTTTGCCAGCATGTTCGTTTAAGCTCCTTTCAAAATTCTCAACGGAACTGTGGTGCCATCTGGAAGTAGCTGATAATTGGCCTATTGCCCTTTTGAAATCCCAGTTAAAATTTCAGTAACAGGTTGGCCCCTTATCACCAGTGCTACGCCCACAGCAAACCTTTATAACAACTTCATGATTGTATGCTTCATCTTAGTCATAATGACTAACATTACAAAGATGTCTTTGGGGCCCCATTAACTCGACCACTTCCTGTGCTCAAAGACTAGGGTTGTAAAATGATACATAGCTAAGGATGCTCATGATTAAAACTGCATAAGGTTTGGTTAGCTTTTTTTTCAGGTATTGGGTGTCTGTGGTTTGCATAACCCATTATCAAATGCCTGTAATGGAGTAACCAAATTACTTAATAAGTAGAAGCCATGGATGTTAGCTGTGTAATTGAGTAGCAGATCTAAAAGAAAATGCTTAGTTTTTCAAATTACATATGAAGAAACTTCACATGTAGGAATGACTTGCATTTATTTTTTTTTCAGTGTTATTAAATTTCAAACTTTCTTTTTCTCTGCTCTCAGTTGTCATCTAATTACCAGAAAGCCTATTATTACCATAATGAAAACAAGGTTGTTTTATAAAGTGTGGACTATAATGTCTAGGTCTGTTCTTATTTCTGATTCATTTTATACGTGTTGGTCCTTAAAAGACAATGCATTTCTCAGGTGGGGACAATTGATCACTGTGAGGTGATGCTAACACAGGCTATTCACTATTCACTGAGTTGTGAAGTGTTTAAACAAATGGCCATTGACTGGATGCACAACCTGCTTTGTCAAACTCCTGTCAGTGGTTTCTTCTTATTGGAGGCAACGTGTGATTATTAAACCAGGCTTGTTGTATAAACAGTGGATTGTAGGCTTTGGCACTGTGAAAAAGCTGAACATATTCTTTCGAGTCTTGCCATCTTTATCCTATTAGGTATTCCTTTCTGTTGAAAGTTGAGATGCTCACCATGATGTCTCCTTTCATTATGCAGATTGGCATTTGAGCAGGACATTGAGCACGGCAACACAGATGGGCTGGGTGACTGCCAAAGTAAGCAAGTCTTCTTCCCTCTGTTTATCTTGGGTCAAAGTGTCTTTTTTGTGCAGTGTAGGAACAATATTACTTGAACAGCTTTATGTTGACAGAAAATGTATAAACGAAAAAGGAGATACAGAAATAGCTTGAAAAATGTCTAGTCATCTCAGAACAGGCCATAACAATATCGAGTCAAGATCATTTGTTATGGGTATCTTATTCTTTTATATTTTTTTCTATAAATATGAAATGTTAACATGCACTTAATTTTTTCATTTTTTTAATGGTGACTTATAATTAATCTTTTTAAAGAAATACTTTTTTAGGGAGTTTGAATAATTTGCCCAAAAAAAGCCCTTCAAGATTTAATAAAACAGATGTATATTAAGGCCATTAAGTTTTACAACTTGCAGGGAGCCACAAACCTGACATTTCAGTTCAAAAGTTGAACTTTAAAATTTTCCTCAAGAAAACCTACATTAGTATAATGCTGGTGAAATGAAAATATCTTTCTACTTTATGTATTTATAATAACACTGGTGATGTTATTATGTTTTTTCATGTACAAGTGTTGACATTCTATTTTTTTAACTTACAGATTCTTTTGTGGCTTTGAATGGTAAGCTAGCATACCGTTTTTAATCTATGATGCAAACTCTGTAATGTATTGTGCATTTATCAGTAGATGGCTTCGCAATCTTCCACAAATACATTTTTTTTTACTTTCTTAAAATACATTTTGTTGAATTCCCTTCTTGTTTTTTTCATAGACATTCCAACCAGTCCTCAAGGTCGTGAAAAGTCTCGAAACTCTCTGCATGGTCAGTTTTTCCCCCCACATCTTTAGTTCTCTTGCTGTTTTAGCTCAGAGAAATTAACCCCCTTTGACCTTAGAGTTACCCTCTTGTACAAGTTCAAATATTGTATATTTTCCCAGCTGCTTCTGCCTTTCTTTGTCATGTTTTGCATTCTTGCTAGCCTCTGTAGCATTGATTCTGCCTTGGCCTTTAATTGTCTAATTAGGTTGCTATAGTTGTTAATAAGATAGAACTTGGTGCTTCAGGGCCTCTAGGGTCTTGCTGACTTGTGCATATTAGAAGAACAATCAAGGCTAATTTGAGTGGCTGCCCTTGTAGAAAGCTAAACATGGACTTGTTTTTCAGCAGCCTAGAAATAATAGATTAAACCACAATACAATGTGTTAATCATGAAGTAAAGCAAAATGCAACTTGTTTGACACAAATGTTTGCTTCTCTTTCGCACTAATCAGGTGTTTTTTTGTCATTTGTGACATCATTTTCCACCTGGGACCGATGATGAAACTTAACACCTTGCATTAGTCTTGTCAGACATGTGATATTCAGTCTGGTTTTAACAACAGACTCAAGTCTTGGTTCTAAAGTATTTTTGTTTGTTTTCACTTTTGGAAAAATGTAGAACAGAATATAGATCATTGCATTTTTTGTGAGTAACAGAGGACTTTGTAATCTTCCCCATTGAATGAGGGCAAGTTGCCTTTTTTGAAGGACTGAAACAGCAAAAATGCAAACATTTTCTCTGGTAAAGACCTAAAAGTCCTGTGGCACTACTGGGGTCCATTATTCTTTGTTTTTAAGTATATGTAATCTCTACAATAACTGCTGTCCTTGTTTTGGTTTCACTGAAAATCACAGAGCAGATTTAAAATTGCACAGGGCTGTTCATATTTCTGGAACCATGTCTCCTTATTGTTCTTGAATTCTTTCTATAAAGGGACATTTTGTAAAACTGTAAATGTAGCACTGACCAGAAGAATTGTCTTACGCAGCTCTTATGCTTTGCTTTATAAAGGTGGTAAATTTAAGAGTATGCTATGCAGTTATAAGTATGCACATTATATTTACAATTACAGAAAATGCTGAGTTAGAAAAAAGTATTAAAAATCCCCACAAATTATATTTTAATTAATATAATGTATATACCATCAGATTATAACTGATGCAGTATTACCTAGTTGTTAAAATTCCTCTCCTGTGTCTCCATTTTATTTGCCTTAAGGATAAGTGATCCAGAAGCAAACCGTTTGTTTATCGAAATTAGGCATCCGTTTTTTAGTATGAATGTCATGTGCTTGAAAACTGACTTCCTGTCAGGGCTGATAATGAATTATAAAATAGCCCTGTCACACTAATCTTTCAGCCTGCGGTACATTGTTAAATAAATCATTTTAATGATTATGAGTTGCAGTCTGGAGGAGTGCAGTGCTTGGTAGAACCAAAGCTAACAACACTGGCTTCAAAGGACCATTTTTCACATAGGGTGGTTTGTTAGAATTGGTTTATTGTGAAAACTATAAAGTACAAAAGGATTGATCAGTATGCAGTTTGTCTCTTTGGAGCTCGGTGTCCCCTTTTCCATCAAAGGCTTCACTTTATGCTTTAAGATTCTGTGAAAATTGCCTTTTAGGATAAAGAATTTCTTTTCTATTTCTTTCTAAATTAATAATTTGGCATCTAACTCAAAATAGAATACTCATCTGTAGTCCAAAAAAAAAACCTAGACTTTTCTGCTTTAGTAAAATCTATGTAACATTTCATTCAAAATATTACAGTTTAAAATAGCATTGGTCTAGGGACAGAAAGACTGGAGTTGTGTTGGAAAGTTGTATAGTTTGTTTCTTCATTCACATCCCCTAAACACTCTACATTTGCAATATGTATTGATAGAATAATAGTAATGGAATGACTAAAAGTTAATTCCACACTGAAAAGTAGAAATGTAAAACTCAGTGTTTCAGCAGTTCAGCTAATTGCACGTATGAGATGTGCTTCTTCTCACCTGAAGGCGTAAAACAATCTTGTTTTTCTTTCTACTTTCTGTGTGAAGTTGAATTTTTACCTGTTTCCTTTCAACCAAGATACACTGTTGCAGCTCCCCACGAGAAATAATAATTTGAATTAAAAACTACTTTTAAAAGGTTGCAAAATGCACTAAATCCAACTGGCGAACTGAGTTGCTAGATTTCTAGTGGAATTCCTAAAAGGAAAGGAGCTTGTTTTGAAGGCAAGGTTATTCCATGCAGCACGCGTACTGCAGTATCCTCTCAGTCGGGGGTACCACAGTGTTCTTGTCCAGCAGCGTGTAAAAGAAGGTTTCTATAATAAAATCATGAAATGTCTTGCTGTTCATATTGCAACCTCTGTTGTGTTTCTGGCACTAATAGGACACACAGGCTTTCCTTTTCTCACCACTTCCCACACACCAGCCAAAGAGATACTTGAGGATCGGGGGCGAATGCTTGATCAAAAAGATACCGGAGCCCCCTCTGACAAGAAGGACCCATACATGGCAGGCTCGCCCCATAATCATCATGATACCAATGGTAAGGCCTTGGAATAAAAATATTATTTTCCTGTGGTTGGGAATAGAATTACAGTGTAACTGCTTCCAGCTGAACCAATATGGTTTTAGTATAATAGCATCCAAGAATACTGTAGCCCACTTGTTTCTATGAAAACCTTTATGCCTACAAAGGAATTTAGTACCCAGCTGATTCCAGTTCAAGTCTGACTAAATTGTTTTTAGCTTCCTTTAAAAGATTATGCCATCTTGATCTCATTTTTTACAGGACATTGAATAACCTATAAGGCTGGACCCTTCTATTGGCAACATTGCCATCATAAAAGTTCAGTCCACCCAAGGTCAATTCAAGGCATAGACAATGAAGCAGCTGCAGTGCAGAGACTAAGGTTGTTGCTAAATGGGTTATTCAAAGTCATATAAAAGAATGGTTTTACCACGAATAAATTTCAGTAGAAAAAATCAAATGCCTCTGTGGGGAAGCTTGTAAATTACATTTCCTTAATTGTTTAGGAACGCAATTTAGGGCTAAAATGATATCTGCTCATTAATAATCATAACAATTACAATCTGCCAAAATAGGTGCAAGGGGAAGGACAGACAAAAGAAGCTCTCTCTCTCGGCGTGTGTAATACACATCTCCTTGAACTGTGATGCAATTAAACTGACTTCTATGTATGAGATCATCTGAAGTGACCTGAGCTTCATCAGTTTCACTTTGGGTGATGTGTTGGGCATCAGTCGATTGCAATCTCTTCTGGGATAAAGAATGGCACAAGGGTCTTATTACTTAACGGGGTCAGTTTAATCTCCCAAGCTCCAGAGGAGAAGTTATTATTGACAAGGCTGGAAGCAGTACACCTAGAGACAGGAAGCAATGGTGGCAGAGGTGACTGCATGGATATACTGCATTAATGTGTTGCGTTATTCTCCCCTTTGCCATTACCGATTCAAATTCATGCTTCACACATCATTTAGGTAAAGGCAATGGGGGGGTCTCACATTTTAAAATAAAGCCTACTCTTATTTTGTTTTATTTAGAACTAAACTTTTCAATTTGTACACATATGTGTGTTTGATTTAATTAGCAGTGAGCATTTTGTTGGAAATATAATTTTGCTGTTTTGGAGTTGTGTTGCATGGCTTTCTTCTTGCTGTTTTGGGGTATCTTTATAGACTCCCCTGCTTTCAGCCCTTTGTGTTTCATAAGCACTGTATATTCCGATCAACCCTGGTTTTTTTTTTCTGTGGGAAAGCTGTTCCCCTGGTGATCTCACTTCTGTGTGCTTTCATCCAGACAATCTTATCCTGGAAGTAAACTTAAAAGACTTGTCTTCCAGCTAGTAGGTGCATGTGGTTATGACACATTTCCAGTTCTACCTTTGCTTAATGTACTCTGAAAACCACCAAACCATGAGAACCTTAGACTTCTAATCTCTCTAAGCCAGCATAGTTTGTAAACAGATAACACCCAAACTGGGAACTCCAAAGTACCTAGAAGTAGTTGCATGCTGCTGTTTGATTTCTTTTCACCACCTTGTTGTGGTGAGGTTTTTCACAAAAAATGAAAGGGAATGACATAGACACCCTGGCTAATTTCCTAACATGTTGTTCAGAGGACCCCTAACTCCAGAAAACTAAACTGAGAGTACTTAGTGGGATGTCCTGATGTCCTGTCATTCAGATTAAAATATAAATTAATATTTTACTTTCCACAAAAAAAGGTGTCTTAATTATTATTATTATTATTGTTGTTGTTGTTGTTGTTATAGTGCATTTTTAGTCATAAGATTTATCCTCAGCATGGTGTGGTTTTCAAAGTATATTTGAGCATTGTTGTTCCGGAGCAAATCTTAATGTGTGTTGTGCTTTTTTACAGTGATTTCCAGTCACATTCCCCCACCTAACTAAACCTCCCTCCCCCATCTGCTACCATTGTAATTAGTCTCCCTTCCACAGGACATTTCATCTGTTGAGATGGAATGTTCCAAGGCTTTACCTTATGTAGTGCAATTGTATTACTAACCATATTGATGCAGCATCTGTACTAGTTTAACAAAGTTGTATCTCTTTCTTGTGCGGGGGAATGAAATCTGTCCTGCTCTTTTTTTCCCTTCCCTCATCCTGTGGTCATCCTTGTATATATTTCTATTTTGTAGACTTCTCTTTGTCACCCAGTATGTCGTCTGGAGTCTTTAACTATAGTGTTGACTTTGTCAAACACCAGCAAAACAATTGATTGACAAGTATGCCGTGTATTTTGCTTGACTGCATATCATGTCCTGATCTTTCTTAAAACAAATAGCAGAACGGAAACCATACTATAAGAAGAAAATGTAAGAATCAAGAAACTTTTCAGAGACGATAATTTAGTTGCTTTAATCTTTGAATATCTCAGAAGGTTTATTTTTCAGTTCTTGTATGATAATCCTGTGTTTTTGGCCATGTTCAGGTCATATTAAATAAAATGTCATGTCTGTGATATATGGGACATAATTGCTTTCTGATGTGCAGTTAAATTGCACATATTTTTGACACTGCTCCTGAACAGTGTATATAAAAATGTGCTTGGGTGAAATCCAAGAATGAGAAGAATAAACATGAGCCAGTCTTAGTACTGGATTTCTTATTTTGCAGAAATACTATAAATTTTATTTTCTTGGAATCAGAAGTATGAAGTTTTCAACTTACAATTTTAGCTCTATTTTTCCTACAAATGAGCATGATTTGTGACCTACATTTCTTGATAGGCCACCTACCATTAACAGGTCATTATGAAAGTTAATACCAATGATATCATGGTTCTCTGTGATTTAGATCTGTGGAGCAGAAAGGGAGATACCAACTGGCTTTGATCTACTATTTCAGTACTCCAAAGCCAAAAGGTGGCTAATTGTGTGACATTTGAAAACATTTGGAAAAAAAAGATGTCAAGGGTGATATAGATTGTTTTAGTCAAAGGGACAGATTTACAAGTCTCAGAGGAAACAGGGGTTAGGAAACAGTTAATGCGAGTGATCAGGGCACAAACAATTTAGGGAATTTTAGGAATCGAGGAATTGATAAAGATTGCTTTCACACACCACTACTAATACTGATAAACCTGTCATTCTATAAATCTCAAACAGAAACTCAATGAGTTAAAGATATCTGGATCTGGAAAGGAGTCTGTGATTGCAAAGCTTCAGCAATATGCCAAATAACGTTTTTAAATATGACATTAAAAAATGTGCTTCACAGGAAGGTGGAAAGTGTAGATAAGAAATGTAAAATCAGGTATACAAATGAATAGCAGAAACATGTGTATTCACAAAGAAACATTAAAGCAGTACGTGAATTCGGGCCCGTATACTGTATATACTTAATATATAGCTAAGGAGGAAAATGAGAATGAAGCTACAATAAGTCAGGTTTGTAAACATTTTAAGAAAGGGTGGGTTTCCTTTAAGTTAATTTCTTTATTTATTAATATTTAACCATTGTCTGAACAATATTCAGCAATTCAGAGACCTCCCTCCATTGAACAGTGTATCCTTCATTTTATTGATTTTGTACATTCTGTTCACATGCAGAAGTAATAATGTCAAATAAAAAACAATATCTCCTCCTTTCCTTCAATATCTTTACTTTGTCACTACACCTCTTGTAGTCTACACATAAATGTGTAGAAAATTCTCTATTAGTGTCGGTCATCAGAAGAAACAAAGGTTTTGTTTTGTATGACTTCTTCAGCTCCAGGATGATGCAGTTTTGTGAAATGAATGAGCACTCGTTCTACCATGGATTCCTACATATGTGAAGTTTCTCATTTATTAAAATTTTAGATTTTTTGTTGAAATGCTGCTTTAAGACAGGTGTGCCAAACGCATTTGCTGTTGTGGCCAGATTTGTTTATATCTACTTCAAGTGAACCAGAAATTATTAAAATTAAACACAACCATTATATAGTTTTATTTATTGTATTATTATTTTGGGATGTTTATCACAATGATATACCTCCTTTTAAAATTCAATTAGAAGGCTTTACATATTCACTAGATGTCAGTTTAGGAAAATGTACTCATTACCCTCTGAGTATGAGATTTGTTTTGCGTTATTAACCTTAATTATTTAAAATATCATTGTTGTGATATTTGTACACCATGTAAATCTGTACTGAAAGTTACATTGTCAGGGCATTTCAATAACTGGTGAAAATAAATGTACAACTGTATAACCCACCACTTGCTTTTCAGTCACTAGATGTAAGAATTTTCACATCAAAAGCTGTTTTCGTTGTAGCTACTTCCAGTTTTGTCTAAGTGATTTTTATAATCAAACATCCTCCTTATTTTTAACATCATGTCAGCAAAATCCATTTCATTTTAATTGATAAAATAACAAAGAAAAATTTCCCCTGGCTGTAGAACAGACAGAAGGCATTGTGAAAGAAGAGGGGTCGAAAGTCTAGAATTGACCTGCACAGTACTGTTGTTCACAGTACTTATTTGTCTTCTTAACTACAGGACTAAGTTAGATGGGCCAATTGTTATACACACCCAAGAATGTTCTTTGGTGATTCAGTACTTTTGAGGTAATAATGCGTAATATTTGGCAAAGTTCTAGACCTCAAAAATGAGTCGTAAGCTTTTACATATAAAGTAATGGAAACTTAATTTACCATTGTAAACCATGGGAGGGTGCATATATATAAATTGGTAAACTGCAGGACTGAAATGCATGTTATACAGGCTCTCGGCTAAATTATAAAGTTTTACAAACAGCTGTGATGGCAAGTGAGAAGCGGTTTGCCTTGTTTTTTTTATTAATTTTAAGATTTTTGACTTGCAAACAGAATAAACAAAATGTAAAGTTAGAAGGATGTTGCTTGACTGAAACAAACAACGAAAGTTGGAGAACACAGAACACTCACAAATCTCCTAGATATAAGTTTTATTAAAACAGCAATAAATTCACTTTAACAACTGTGTCATCTTTTGGAAACAAAACATCCTTTTGAGATCATAAGAGTTTCAGTAAGAC